CACACACACACACACACACACACACACACACACACACACACACACACGTGTGCTCCTGCACTTCACCCCTTAGACTCCTGATAAAGCTTGCCATCAACCTGAGCTTGGTTTTCCCTCGGAAATATGCGTTGGCATTTGTCTCCACACATTTGAGGTATACAAAAGTAGAGATGAGACAGACGTTTCGACAAAGGGCCTGAAAAAGCAAGTGACATTCAAGTTCTTTTAACTGGCAAACCTATGAGCATTATGAACCGTCACAGGTCAACGTCGAACACAGAACAACTGGCCATTTAATTTGGACCTGAGGTACTTGAGCCACTCAACATTCACCCAACTCTCAGCTTCATTTGGTACTTTGAGGACCTTGACAATGAACGGCATAAACAACATGGAGGAATAGGGAGTTGGTGATTCTCCTTGCAGAGAAAATGCTTACTCCTAGCGCAAAATAGCTCTACTGGAGACTGACACAAAGAAAATTTTGCACTTATGTAAGTGAGATTGGACTGTAAATCTAGAGCAGAAATTGTCTTTCACTGCATTTATATAATCTCTCCCTCAGTCACAGTTTATGTTCAGTAGACATTCATTCTTTACCATTTTCATTAGTTCCGTGAAGATTTATCAAACCAGGAACTGTGCTAAAAGCTAACTACAAACAAGAGTTGATATTGAAAGATCAAACAAAATGCTGTCCTACCGGAAAATATTAAAATGTCTATGTTTTAGGAAAGCTCTGTGTGTGTGTATGTTCACCATAGATATCCGTGAGATTCAGGTAAAATATGTATAGTGCCAAAGGTACTTTCTCCAAGCAACCTCCCTTAAAATAGTCTTGAACTCCAAGACATTGGTTTGAACTTGAAACCACAGTTCTGGGTTTGTGTTTTCTGGCTGGCTCTTCTCAGCCTTTTTAAGAATTTTATATTGAAAGCCAAAAGAAAAAAATCATACTTACATCATCAATTACCTAAGTATCATATATGGGTCCAAGTTATTTGAGCTCCCATAACTCAGGTTAATATCACAGTTTGCTCAGAAAATGAATTTGTGTGTGTGTGTGTGGCGAACATGAGCTTCAAACTTGTCAAATCTGGGAATTTAGGCCAAGGCTACTCGATATTGATGACATTTCCCCCCAGATTAGAATGCATAATTCTCCCTACCAATATTGCCTTTTTTAAAAAAATGCTGTCCAGATACTAGTTGGGAAATTTCTATGATTACTGTTGGACAATATCATATGGCTTAACGTAACTTTACAACATTTCATATGGCTTCTGAGTTTGCTTAGGGGCCACTCGGAATTGAGATTTAACTTCTTATATACTCTTATTTCTAAAGTATGCCATGGGTTTGATACTTTTAATTTGGAGGAGTGTCAATTATTTATAATTTAAATATTTTTAAATTTTATCAGTCATGCATCCCACCTAAGGACAAGACGTCTTTGTAATTTTGACCATATACCTCTAAATAATCTTTAGTCTATACAACTTTACATTGTAGGGGATGTTCAAGAAATGCTTCATTTTAAATTCTTCATTCTTCCTTGTTAATGAATTATTTGAAAAATAGTTTCCAAACATATAGTTCAAGCAATTACCCAATTTTCCCATCATGTGCTGTGGATAGTTAGGGGCTGAGACAGGAAAAGAAAAATAAAAGAAGTCAAAGTAACTCCTTTTCTTATGACTAGGAAATGGAAATGTGCTTTTGGTATTTTAAGTTTCAACTCAATATTTCATAGACATATTGTTTAAAATGATAGTTTGACTTACAGGAGGACACATGCTTAATTATCCAGTGGTATAGCTGAAACATCAGAAAGCAGAAAAAGAAAGCACTGAAGGTGAATCATGTGGAAAGAACAGCTCAAAGGGAAAGTGAAAGGTAACTGCACCTACATTAGTTAAGTAGTTTTCATGTGCCAAACAAAATAACCTACCACTATTAATAGCAATACTATCTTGATGGAAGAGTATGTTCCAAGTTACAAAAGTTCCCAATGTACTTTTAAGAAATAAATGATTTTTAAATTTGGAAACTTCCTGTATTTAATTTAAGCTATTCAACTGAAAAAGTCCAAAGCCATTAAAAGAATGGAGCAAAAATTCTATCTAGTAATATATATTTTATTCTAGTATATATAATTAAATATATGCTTAATTCTAGTATTATATATTACATATATAAAAATGGAGTCTTAACAAGTACCTATACCAAAAATTACATTTTGGAAAATTTAATAAGTGTTAGTTATCCAGGGATTTTGAATGTTTGCATAAGAGAGACATTTTTAAACTTTAAGCTTTATTAGCAGTTGCAATTATCTGAGAAGATGTGGCTAGATATAAGGATCTAATGAAAATCTAGTTAAAACCATTAATATTGCATTTCTTTCATGAGTCACAATGTCATGGAAACATTTATATATTAGTTATTTATTCTAGGAACTTTTTCCAATCAGAGCAACTCAACTTGAACTAGCTTATGAAAACTGGAAAGTTAATTATAAAGTTAAACATAAAGCTGGGCCTCAGTATCAGCAACCTCGGGAATCTGAACGCTATCACAATATTTTCTGCTCCTTATCTCTACCTGTTCTGCATGTTGGTTTTTCTGCTTTCTCACCACAAGCTAACTTTATCCCTATGGTGGAAAACATGACTCCTGAGAAATTCCAAGCTCTACAGCTCACAGATTCTGCCACATTTCTGTGCCCCAAGTCCATAAATTCCAAAAAAGGTGGGATGTCATTAGCTCTACTTAAATAAGGTAACCTACCCCATACAAGTTAGGAAGCCAGATAATAAAATTAGCCTAGCTTGGGTCAGGTGCATACCTCTGACAAAACCTCTGTGGCCATAATGGGAGGGTCATGGAGGAATACAGTGGCCCCCATGGGACCTATACGGATGAACGGGGGAGAAAGGAAAATGGTTCCCAGAAAGGGATTCTTGGACAGAGAAAACTTAAGTGATGCCTACAAGGGTACTGTACTTCAACACACTTCCCTGAGGTTCTCTTAGAGCAGAACTGTTCAAAAGAATTGTCTGCGATAATGAAAACTGTCTATATTTGTGCTACGCAATACACTGGCTACTAGCCATATGTGGCTAGTGGCTACTGTATCAGACAGCACAGCCTTAGAGCTACAGAAATGGCATGGTGGGGTTCAGGGAGGGACTGCCAGAGAAGACTGCTCAGTGGGCACTTACTTGGTGGGATAAACTGTAATGTCTTTGGTGGGAGGAGAAGAGTAATAACTTCCCATTTGTGGATACTCTACCTGATAGAGTGGTACAATAAGAAGTGTATCTATCCTGCTGTGTGGAGGTAATTAACGATGAAAATGGAAAGAAAAAATAAAAGTAAACATAAATCAGAACAATTCTTTTTTCTCTTCGATTTCCTCCACCAATTATTTTCCTCAAGACTTGTCACTTACTCCACTACAGGCAGCAAAGTAATAGCTAAGACAGAAAATAAACGTGGAGCATTCTAGTATTCTTTTTATTCACTTAGATCAACTGGTAGCTTTCCTTCTTGCCCTCTAAAACTTTAGAGATGGCACAAGCTCTACCAAAGAAAAGAAAAAAGAGAGCAAATAGCATAGACGCTAATTTACTACCCTACACTTTCTTCCATTATATTTTCTAAGCCTTTCATGCAGACTGAAGAGCCACCTACACTCCTCTCCCTTTTCATCTCCAAATACGATGCGCTCCTGTATAATCTCTGTTAATATTTATTATTGATCAGTGAAGTTATTGCTATCGGCTAAATGTATGGAGCAGTACACAGTGGTTTACTGACACAGTTACAACACAGCAGGATACTGGCCTGTCAGTGTGGAGGAGTGAACGGAACTTCTAAACATACAGAGCAATTTGACACAAAATGTTCAACAAGTACATGCTTACGGGGATACAAACTAAATAAGCTAAACATTCTTGTTCACAGCAAAGTAGTATTTTGTTCTAGGTAGGAGTACTTGATTATATTTAAAAAAATGTTTTGGGACTTCCCTGGTGGCGCAGTTGTTAAGAATCTGCCTGCCAACGCAAGGGACACAGGTTCGAGTTCTGCTCTGGGAAGATCCCACATGCCGCAGAGCAACTAAGCCCGTGTGCCACAACTACTGAGCCTGCGCTCTAGAGACCACGAGCCACAACTACTGAAGCCCACGAGCCTAGAGCCTGTGCTCCGCAACAA